GATGGTGGTGTTTTTAATCCATCCACAGAACCACAGAAATTTCCTTCGACTCTTCTCGCAAAACAACAACGATCTCGGAGCAACATATGCTAGTCGGAGGAGACTGACTCCGTGCAGATATCTACAACTTCACGCATAGCTCGACGCCCGCGGAGAGTTTCTGGGTTTCTTGTGTGCAAAGATATTGACAGCGGCGAGGAGAAACAAGCGTGAGCATCGTCGCCTAGGCTTGCATCCGCTCATATAAAATGTTATATTAAGCCGATAGAGGTCTTCATATATTTGCATCCCCATGCTCTCCCGCACGAAATATTTTCCTACTGTACTCTAGGCCCCTCAGCCTCCCTGTGGCTGTCTTGGCGTTGCGTTTTCAACTTTTTATAAAAATTTTGTGGTAGGCGTCGAGCTACAGGCAATGCTGCCTCACACCCACTGAGGTTTCTCTCCCGCGGCCAGTCACTAGAAGTCCTCGTAGGGGTGCGCCCAGTGCAGCAGCAACCCAGGAGAGAGCCACAACGATCCAGGGAAGAGCAGCACCAGCCTTGCTGACAGGGCCCCCACAAAGAGATGCGGGTGGGTTGCAGCAGCAACAGCAAACAAGAGAAGCAAGAACGCATGCCGCTCGCCTTTTGCCCCCGTTACTTCTTCAATTCTTTCCTGTTTCAGGTGTCTCCACCCCCTTCGCCTTCTCCCTAGGTGGACCCGCTCCTTGTAGAGCTGCCCAACACATGCGAGCATCCGCTGCCACCGGGGAAGGGGGGCGGGGGGGGGAGAGAAGAGTAGATTAGATGCAGCATATTCTAGCGACGTGAGCTGCACTGGATTGAAGCCCACTGGGCCGCGGGGCCCAGGGCCCCTGGGGCTTGGACGGGGGTTGCTAAGCTGTGAGTAGCATCGGCTGTGTAGGTTAGCTCGCCCCCCCCCGTTGCTTCTTTGCAAGGGCAAGTTAGTGCTCAACAGCCGCATATAGTTTCGATGCATGCAGCAGAATGGGGCTTTCTTTTCTGCTTACGAAGCGGGGTGTGCTGCATCGCGCAACGGGCTGTCTCCTCTGTCTCAGTCTGACTCAGCCCGCCTGGTGATAGAAGAAAAGGAAAACTACTTTTTGTGAAATATTTTTTCTGTTTTTTTATATCGACTGCAGATCGGATAAGAACGGGGACTCTTTTTATAACTAACAGAAGCAGCTACAGCAGACGCAGCAGCAGCAGCAGCAGCTGCAGCAGCAGAGAAACAGCAGCAGCAGCAGCTGCTGCTGCTGCAGCAGCAGAGAAACAGCAGCAGCAGCACAAGT